GGAGACGTTTCCTTTCCTGCAGAAACCAGAAACATGGAGGCAGGACGGGACGCTCGGCACAGAGGATCTGATTTCAGATAATAACTGTCTCAGGGCTGCACAGATAAACGTGTTAATGCGAGAGGATTTGAGTGTGAGAGGAACAGAAATGTATTTTATGAGTAAACGAGTCTGCAGCCACTCGACTTCATCACAAACACTGGAACACAGTCAGCTTTAGTCTTTAACGCACAAACAATCGTTAGAAGAAACAGAGCTTCGGTTTACTTTAACTCGACATCTTTCATAATCACCTGTGTTTGTGTAACGGAGCGTGTGCGAGAGAGAGAGACGGCCTCCGGGCGTTTTCGTGCCGCCGTCTTTCGTCTCCCGTCCGCCCCTTCGCTGCTCGCCTCTCGTCTTCCTGCTAAAAGCGTTCGGGGCTTTCTCACCAGGAGAGTCTTCACACGGTTATTTTACAAACGAGTTTTATAATTGCAGCTCTGCCCGATCATGTGACCCAGCGCTGACGGGTCACCTGACCAGCTGATAAATCTTCCTCCAGCTGTTTCTCTTCTCGGTTTTCAGCGTTTTGTTGAGCCGTCCCAACAAACTGAGCTCCTCCTGCAGGCACAGACGGCAGTAATTTACAGGAACCCAAAGCGCCCTCCTGATTTAGTCTGTTTTACATTTTACTGCTCAAGCGTCGCCCGCCTGGCTTGTCGTGCCTTAAATGCCCGTGTGGAGCATCTGAATCCTTTTTCCCATCTGTGTGTAAAATGCTTTCTGTCACCGTGGTTTCACCTGAATCTGCACGTGCTCAGTCCGTCCCAGGTAGGATAACGTCTGTCTCCCCCTCAGATGGCGAGCATCCGAGCAGAGAAAACGTTTCCTCCCTGCAAGTCGAATAGCCCAGAGGACCAGGTCAAACCCATGCTGGACTGGGCCAATGGGGGCTTCCTGCCCAAAGGAGAGGAAGGACTGAAACCCACACACAGTGCCAGTGAGCAAGGCAGCAGAGCCACACTGTCATTCACTGTTGATCCCAAACAGGCTGCAGGATGTAAGTGTGTTTGTATGTGTCCGCAGACAGTAACCCTCTGGAGCACCACGTCCTCGACGTGTCCCTGTGCGAGTACTTCCCCAGCGCAAAGCGGCCCAAACTCAGCCTGTGTAAGAGCAAGGCCGCCCCCGAGGAGCTGTGCAACAGAGGTAAAAGGTCAAAGGTTAAACTCAGTGAACCCTCACAAAGTGGAGGATGTTATTTAGAAATGTATGTCAGCAAATCTGGTGTAAGTTATGTATTTAACATTTGTATGTTTCAAGGATGTGCTCAGAGACACACTGAACCCGTTTTATCACAGTTTTTACACTACAGCATCCTTATGATGTCACAGAGAGGGAAACCCCGCCCACCTGTTCCTCAAAACTGCAGCCTTTCAAAAGCAGGAGGAGCTAAAACAACTCGTTTTAGACAGGGGCTGAACTGAGGGGCTGCCTCGAGGCCCAGTATTAAATAAAGAAGGATTATTATGATCTGAATCATGCAAAGCTACTCTGGTAGAGTTCAAGGTTAAACATAAAGAGCTGGAAATGAGCAACTCTCCCAACATCTCGGCTCATTTATGTGTAAATGTGTATTGAGAACAAAAATATCCAGTTCAGAGAATCATATTCAAACAATAAAGTGTGTGATTAGGACTAAACTACACTTAAAGCATAATGTTGGAAAAATCAAGCTTTTATGTTTTTGAGAATGAAACAATTTATTAGAGGTGATATTCTCAGCTGTTCTGTCTAACACAGATCTCATATCTATCAGTTTGTGCTTTCAGTTGAATTATTTTTGTTCTTTATGTTGGTTGAGTCGTAAAAAGTTCGCAGTTTATGTCACTTTTCCTATTTTTACATCTCCTGTGTTTTCCTGCCAGAACAAATGGTGAATGAAGTTCTGAAGAATAAAAGAAGTATCGAAGGTAAACATTCCCACCTGTGCTTGTGACTCGTGATCCTTGGCAGGTAAATCCCGCTTTGATCTTTGTGTTTTTCTGTGTGTGTCTTTGGCAGAGTTTTGTCTGTCTTGTGGGAAGACGAGTGCAACCTTCCACCCGCTGTTTGAAGGAGGCTTGTGCCCAACATGCAAGGTAGAGCGGCAGACACACGTCACATGATCCAGAGGCTACAGCGTGCGAGGACTCGTCAACGATACATATGACCCAGACGCTCGTAAAATTTAACTGCCGCAGTAGTGTCTTCATATAAATTCTAAATCTGTTTGGACTAATGAAAACCCCCTACACACACACACACACAGACACACACACACACACACACACACTCACACACACACCCTGTAATATCGCCATTGGGCTACACGTTGGCTTTAAGCCAGTATTTGACAGGAGTCGTAAAGCTGGTTGTGTCAGAGGAAGTAACGCTCCATAGGAAACAGAGTGAGAGTGGGGCGCTTTTGATGATGATGATGATGAAGGTGTTCTCAGCTAAACAGATTAAGGCGCTGAGTGACGGCGGCGTGGTGTAATTACCATACGAACATCTGAAAGTAGAATAGATACGAAGCTGAGACGCTCTGGGTTCAGTGTGAGCAGCAGCAACAACACTTGCCCCGCTCACACACTCCTCCATGGTTTCTAGCTAACGCTCACAGGCTAGTGCCTTGCCCAAGGATATTTGGCATGCAGACTGGAGCAGACGGGGAATTGAACCAGCAACCTTCTGATTAGAAAATCAAACTGCTGATAGTGATAATAACGACAGAGGCCACGCTGATAAGATTTACACCGTGTCTATTATCTGATTCTTACAAACATGCAAACTGGTACTCTTGGAGGGGACAAAAAGCTCTTTCTTCTTTTTAAATAATGAAATCAAAGAGTTGTGCTGCGTCACCCCGAGGGCGTCAGCTTCAGCGTTCGGAGCTGATGCCTCTCGGTCCTCGGTCACACATCCTCCCATCAGCTTCTGAATAGGCGCTGTCTATCTACAGCTGAGGTTATCGGAAGCCGTGGACTTTATCACTATGATACCAACGATGGAACAGAGACGAATAAGCGAAATGACGTGAAATGAGAGTGGACGCACAGCGGCCAGCGTCAATGTGAAGGAGGAATTAATTAGACGATTGCTCTGTCTCCACACGCTCCCTCGGAGTTCGTGGGACGACAGAGGCCCGTCAAAACAAAAATGCAATGGCACCGTGGAAACGCAGGCTCTAGTCACAGATTCTATCGACCGATGTTATCAAGGAAAGCGCTCAAGTAATAACCATAGAAATTTTTTAGTGTATCAGATGATCTTAAGACTGCTGGAGATGGTGCCCGTCCGTCCGTCCATCCGTCCGTCCATCCATCCATCCATCCGTCCGTCCGTCCGTCCATCCATCCGTCCTCCATCCATCCATCCATCCATCCATCATCCATCCATCCGTCCATCCCCATTCATCCATACGCCATCCTATCCGATTCTTCGTCTCCAGACCGCGTGCTTTCGTCTTAATACTGAGGTACGATTTACCACCTACGCATCGCATGCCAATTCTCTATGTAACCATCACATCCATACCATTCAACCGTCCGTGGTCCGAGATTTTCGCGACTTACGGGACAGACCTGCTAGCAGCTGGTGGCCCTGTCTCGTCTAATCTTGTTTCACTCATCCATCCTTTAGTCCATTTTCCCAATGCATCTACATCTGGTGATCCATTCCATGCAATTCTCCAATGCAGTACCATTGACTGCCGGTTCAAATTCCCACCTCGCTATCCATTCCCATCCTCCTCTCGTCCCGCTAGGTCTGCCATTGCCACAAATTCCTGCCGTTGTCCGGGCATACCATCACATCCATCTGTACCGACACTTATCCAGCCTTCTGTAATCCGGAATCCCGCCGTCCGTCCGTCGCGTGTCCGGTTACCCCACGTATCCGTACATCATCCCATCCATCATCCATCCTCCATCCTCCATCCATCCATCATCCATCCAACCAACATCCATCCATCCATCCAACCCTCCATCCATCCATCCATCCATCTCCACTATCCATCCATCCATTCATCCAACCTATCCATCCATCCATCCATCCATTCCATCCATCCATCCATCTGTCCATCCATCCATCATCCATCCATTCATTCATCCATCCATCCATCCCATCCATCCATCCATCCATCCAACCATCCATCCATCCAATCCATCCATCCATCCCATCCATCCATCCATCCATCCATCCATCCAATCTATCCATCCATCCTTCATCCATCCATAATCCTCCACATTCTCATCCATCCATCCCATACGGTTCCATCTCCATCCATCATGTCCTCCAGTCGCGCGACACCATCCGTCACGCCACCAGATCACGTCCCCAAACTCTCATCGCAACTGCCTCGTCAATCACATTCCACTGCCATTCTTGTCACAATCCACTCATCGAAATCAAGACAATACACACTCCTATCCGTCCACATCTCATCACATCTCCAATCACCAAACACATCCGCTGCACTCCTTCCACCCACTCCCACCATTTACTAAACCTCACATAGCTACTCCCGTTCTTACAGCGATACCTAATACCCAATTGCTGTGGTTAACGCAACTTATCTCGAAAGATACACATTGTGTGTGGTGGCTTAAGCAGCTATCTGCGACTCAAATCTAAAGTTGTCCATTCCGTTCAATTTTTTTTGCCACTCATTCAATATATATAATACTTCTGAGAGTCAAATGTTACAATAAAAATATGACCATCATACTGTAATAAATAGGTCTTAAAACCTGCGATTGAAACCATCGACTGTTTCCGTGGTCATAAATTAAGGGAAAAATATAGAGAAGCAGAGAATTTTTCCATTGTTTTCCATACAAGCAGACTTGTTATTGCAGTTGGAGGAGTTGCCCCCTGCAGGCTGCTAGTGCATGAAGTCCACAATGTTTCTAACTTTGGTTTTGACTTTGGTGTGTCAGCCTGGATTATTAGGTGGCCAAACTAAACATTTTAAGACCTCACATTGAACTTTGGAAGGGACAATGCTCTGCTCTTTTATATAACTCGATTATGTCATTGACAAGGAGGGCAATTAAGAAATTAAAAGTATAACCTGCTTTTTCTGCACCAGTTTAAATATTTGCTTATGCCTCTGTAATTACCTTTTAGTAGATGAACGAGTAGAGGACAGCTTTATCTTCTTGTTCACTGTTTACTGACCTCACATACTGAGACCTTTGTCGTCTTTACGCAAGCACAACGTAAAGGTAAATGAATGCAGAGGAAATCTGTTAATGAGACTGTCTGTGTGCTAACGTGTGAGGACAGGTTAGTGCACTAATAGGGAATTTAAAGCAAACACTGTAATCATAGACTCAGAGGTGAAGTGGACTTATCCCACCAAACATATGGGTCAGGTCAAAGACTTTATGTGTATGTGTGTGTGTTTGTGCTTAAGAGGGAATTTAGGGCTAATAAGCTTGTGGTTTGGTATCTAAGGTGAATCACTTTGATAATTAATTGCAAGGCTTAAGTGTTTTCGTGCTTATGTTGATTACATTATGCAGCTCCTAGTTGCCTTGTGCAAGATTGGCAGGATGTTAAGGCACTACTTACGATTATCTCATCACACCCATGTGTGTCCTGTTGTCATGGAAGAACACAGAAGGCTTTGTTTTGGCAGGACCGGCGGTCCTTATAAGCTGAGTCTATGGTAGAACAGGTGACCTATTTACACATATGTGGCCGGAGCTGCTAAAATCAGACGTGATAAGAGTATTTGTGTTATTTGCAGAATGCAAAACAAGCCCAAATAATGTTGGGAGCTCGGATAGCTGTGCGGAAGAGACTAAGCAGACTGTATGACACACGTTTACTCCTTTGTGTTATTTGCCTCATTGATTTTTCGACGTGTCCAGTGAAATACCTTTATTACAGTGGTTAGTTGACCTGAGCGACTGGGGTCGCCATGTTACGATGGTCTCTTTGGATTTCCCGGACAATACTCCCCTAGAGTGGCAGATATACCATTTTAGGGTACTGCTTTTACCAACCCCATACCTACGTATCCTCGAGGATCTCTACGGTCCGTCCACACATGTTACGACCACACTTCATCTCCAGCGCTATCAACGATGGATAGAGTATCGATCTCACCTGGACGACCAACTGCTCCAAGCTGGTCAAGAAGGCTCACCAGCGCCTCTTCTTCCTGAGGACTCTGAGGAAGAACCACCTGTCCTCAGACATCCTGGTGAACTTCTATCGCTGCACCATCGAGAGCATCCTGACCAACTGTATAACAGTCTGGTACGGGAACTGCTCTGCCTCAGACCGGAAGGCGTTGCAGAGGGTCGTGAAAACTGCCCAGCGCATCGCCGGAGCACCACTTCCTGCCATAAAAGACATCTACAGGAAGCGGTGTCTGAAAAGGGCTGGGAAAATCATCAAAGTCACCCAGCACATGGACTCTTCACCCTCCTGCCCTCTGGGAGGCGCTACAGCCTCCGGACTAAGACCACCAGGTACCAGAACAGCTTCTTCCTCACAGCTGTCAGACTCCTGAACTCTGACCCACATTAAACTCATGGACTGAACATACAAACTCCCACCTACAACTGAACACACACACAATGGACAAAAACAAACAAATGCACAACTGTACCCTCATACACACAAAAATAACATGGCTGAACCACCACTCACAACCACCAGCACTTTATATAACCACTGTAGAAAGTAGCCACATATCTCACTGATCTCAACTGCACTACTGTAAATGCTGCATAAACAATCATTCTGTACAATAATTATTATAATTCTACAACTGTTTATAACTTGCATAGTTCATATTTCATATTTCTGTATAGTTTCATATTTATATCCTGTTCATAGCCTGCGCATAGCTTGTATACCCACTACAGCCTGTACATACTTATAATTATAGCAGATTCATAACATACCTATAACAGACCCATTTCTGTAATATATCCATATCATGGCTAAAGCACTTCTGGATGGATGCAAACTGCATTTCGTTGTCTTGTATTTGTGACATGTGCAATGACAATAAAGTTGAATTCTATTCTATTCTATTCTATTCTATTCTATTGTTGTTTCAACCTTGATTTGTGGATCTGACACTCACTAGTCCTTGGCCTGAATCCTTCGGATTAGTGTACAGTCTCACAGCTGGAGTTGGGGTGAACTAGGGAACCCGGGTGCTTGTAGTGGTCCTCACTGTCTGCAGTGTTGCCTTATTGTAGTGCAAGCCCCTCAGTTTCATCCAACTACACTCTCCTGGTCTGAATGACATTCCAGTGTCATTGCTGTAGATCCTAGTGGTGTGGATCAGTGAATAAATGTTTCATTCACTGCTGGCCTTCAGATTATTGTCATCCATGTAGAGGAGTTGGCAGTCTTGTCAATGATCTCACTGAAGGGCTCAAGCCTTTGCAGAAGGGCAGTGGGGACAGAGAATCTCTTTGTCAGAGCACCAACCTTTGACATGTATGTAGCATGTCAGAGAGTTTATAGTTATTAGCTCGTGACTCATTTGATATGATTTGAAAAACAGCAAACGGTGTAAAACTCTGCACACATCAGCACAAACACACACCAACTAGTCAGTAAAGTACCAGTGACTCATTACAAAGTTGATATAAAGTGGGAAACGAGATGTAGGATACGCAGGTCGTGTGTTCCTAGCAAGAGCATATCAGCGACACTGCTGAGCACCTGCAGTACCGTAACTGAGGGAAGCTCTCTAGCGCACTCAAAGAGCTCTAGTGAAATACAAAAGGATTTCTAGAGGTTGCGAGAACTAATCTGGGATGATGTGGTGGCTTCAGCTGAATAAAACTTGAGCTGAATTTGGGTCATGCACAGTGACGAAGTTATCCCAAACACACTTGCGAGAATCAAACAAGCTGAGTACGCGCTAGAGAATAAGCTATGTTGAACTCTGAAAGTGGTTCCCTTTAGTTGGTAAGTGTCTAAGCCTGAGCCTTCAGAAGGCAAAACACTCTGGACATATCAAACGCCGTTTCGCGTAGTTCCATGGACCTTACATGCTAGGGAAATGTTTCTTTTCCCTCCAATAGATCTCATTGAAACGTACAGAGAGGAAACAACGATATACGGACTTTTGTAGGGTGCGTAATGAGGGAGCGACTATATTGTTAATTGTAGTAGAACTCACAGTAATTACTTCCTATGTACATATACATGGTTCAGTTCCATGGTAGCAACAACCTACACAGCGAGTGTATGTGACAAACCAAATAAAGAGATCAAAAGAGAACAGCAAATTGCATTTTTTTGTCCGCATATATAATTTTATGAAAGTTATTTGATTGTAGATACCTGTTGTGCTATCTCGGAAAATAAATTAGCCGCCCTATACACTCTGTCAACATACGCCATTTTTCCAGACATGTGGTTTGTGCCAGGTTTTGTTTTTCGGCTCTCTTATGATGGGTGTGTCAGGCTCGACAAAGTACCGAGTGCAGGTTCTCGCTTAACTCGCGGTTGTGTGGGTTTCAAGTAATGTGTTATTTATGGCGGAACTATGCGGTCGAGGCCGTGCATCTCTGTAAAATAAATTTCACCCTACAGTAAATCCAGCATTATGGGTTTTTCAGCGAGTGACAGTCATTTCTCATTACTTGCTGTTGTTATGGTAACATCGGCGAGATGTGGTGTTATTTCAGGCATGAACACCACAAGAGAGCAACCTGCCTCCTTTCTGAACAGAAGGACAGGCTGAAATCAGCAAACCGTCACGCATCAGTGGAAATCATTTTAATGGGGCTAACTGCTGGTTACCTAAGTTTACCTGTTTACCTGTCCTGTGTCATTCTTTCCTTCTGTTCCACTTCATGAAAGCCCAGAACTCTGCCTCTCCTGGGATAACGCTTCACAGAAAACTGCTCACACAAATACAGAAAGTGATTTTATTAAACACATTACACCTCGACTGGTTGTCCCATGATGTACTGTGGTAACACTGAAAATTATAGCATATATGCTCTTCACTTTGCATTCAGTTAGTCCCTGCAGTCTTAATCAAAATGCTACAAACCTGTGCTATTGGCAAGTGTTCTTATACGTTATGTCATGAATAGCTGAGTGCGGCAGGCAGGATGGGACCCAAATGCAGACTCGCAGACACTT